TTTTTTTCAAATTGACCTTTTATTCTTCTTTCTATCTTCTTCACTTTCTTCCTTGCTATCTTTGTTTCTTTTTTCCTTCTTGCATTTTCTCTCACCTTACCTTTTTCTCCTTCTTCTTACTGTCCATATAAAAGATAACCTGTCACTTGTAAATTTAGGTCAAATTTCACTATCAAATCTAAAAATTGAAAATATTAGGACAATGGGTTTTATAAAACCTTAAATTAGATTTTTAAGAAATTTAGAAGTGTTTTGAGAAAAATTTATGTTTTTGATGCCGAAAATTGAGAGAAAAACATTTAAATAGTTTAGAATCGAGAAAATTTATTAAAGAATTAAGAGGATTTGAGAGAGAAAAATGTTTGACACAAGCGTCGCTTAAAATTAAATATAACATCTATCAATAAATTACTTTTAAACTTTTTAATAGTTACTATTTATCTATCAGTATAATCTATCGATAGATAATGCGATCTATCAATAGAATTTTTTATCTATCAATAGATTTGTCTTTGGATAATATTTTTTTATTTTTAATTTTTGTAAGTGTAAAGTGAAAATAAATATTTAGTAATTTATATATTTTAATATTTAAATAATTAATATAAAAATATTATGTTATTTTTTAATGTTATTATTTATTATTTTAATTACTTAAAATTAAAAAGCAAAATTTTATATTGAAAATTATAAATTTATTCAACTTATATGTTTTTATACTTAAATGTAATTTTATCAATTTATATTACATTCTCAGTAAAATGCTTACAAACCAAACATTACAATGTAATCTTCTGAACAATTATATTATTTGCAATCATCATTTTCTCTTATTATATCAAACGCTGTAAAGTTATATTTTCAACAATCACATTCTTAACAATCATATATCTAACAATCACATATTAAACAATCACATTCTCAACAATATATTAAATGCAACATAAGTAGTGTTGGGCTAATAAGGGAAAAGGAATAGTTGTTAGTTAGTTGCAAGTTTAGAAGTCCAGCTTTGCCCTTGTAGTTTCTTCATCATAGTATTAAACAAAAACCGATGCCTGTGCGACATTATAGGTGAAATTATCTTTTTAATTTTATATTTCACACTATAAATAAATATTCAGAATATTAGATAATAGATAATTAATGTAATCAAATACTTCACTTATTATATTCTTAAAATAAAAAAATTTTAAATTATTCCAAAAAAATTACTCATTTGAATGCTTGATTAAATAATAATGCTTAAAATAAAACCACTTGATCATAAAATCAACTCCAATTCAAAATTTTGCATTTAAAATATTTAAAATAACAAAAAATTCAAAGGTTAAAACAATAAAACGTTTTAAATCGATAACAAAAATAATATATATATATATTATGCATTCATGTATAGATGTTTTCAAATCTTATATTTTATTTGTCACATCAATAGAATTTTGAAATTCCACTTATGATATTTTGAAATTCTCAAATCTTACAAAAAAAAAAATTGCTTGCCAGTCTCCTTGATTTATTTCCTTGACGATCAATGTGACTATCCAAGGCTAAATGGGCTACTTTACCAACCCCTATTTCGTTTCTATAAATCCCTAACATAAGAATGTATTTTACTATAAGCCACACTTTTTATAAAATAAATCAATAAGAAATTTTTTTGTCACACTTTGAGTTTTATAAATATATTAATCCAAATGTTATGCCCTTTTTTCAGTTTAATCCCTTAATTTTGAAAATTGTTGATTTTCAAAATCAAAATCTCATACAAGCGCAAAAAACTCTTTATCAATCATTATAATCCCTTATGTTTGATTATAATATTACTTTTATTTCTTTTCTTTTTTTCTTTTTTGCCTTTTTCTTTCTCTCCTCTTACCTTCTGTCAGTCATTGTGTCACGAGGAAAGTGCCTCTATCCCACA